GTCGGTGGTACAAGCAGTGCCAACCACCAGACGGGAGGTGTGGGATGGGAGTGAGAGGTAGCGGCACGTGGTGGACTGGCTGCCTGGCGCAGAGGTGGGTGAGCGAGTAGATCGGCAGGCCGGCAGCGGGGAGGTGGGGTGAGGACGTGAGGTCCGCTCGCGACGACTCGATACGCGACTCTATGGATATGCGACTCGGTGTGGAGGCGGTGGCTAGGTCTGGGGATAAGGGAGTGAGGTGAGGTCGTGGGCCGTGGGGATGTTGTTGGCCTGTTGGGCTCGGGAGCATCCGGCGATCGGGGAATTTGTGGGTAATTACCCAAATTAATATTGGGTAATCACAATCAGTATCCGAAATTTAGATCGGGTACCGCGGGTTCGAGTATTTCGGGTATGGATTCGGGTATTTCGGGTTCGGGTAATAGGTAGCGGGTATTTTACTCGGTCTTAGCTTGATCCCTCCTCTATGAACATCATCTCTTCATTCCATCAGAGTTGGAGAGGCAACCTTGGTAGCCTTTGGTAATATTTCAGGGCTTAGAGGGCCTTCCGAGCCTTTCTCTGTGTTGTCCTTTTTTTTGTCGGGCTCCCCCTACCCTATAGGCTTGTCATTTGGAGTACCATCTTCCTATATACCAAATACGCAGACTACTTCGTCCACGTCACCTGCAATTCCCGTCCGTCCGATCAACCGATCCAACAGTCCAGACTGTCTTCCGTGCCTCCTCTGCAAATCGAAACGACCAGCCTTTCCTGCCTCCTCTGCAAACTTCGACAACCCTTCGTTCCTCTTCCTCTACCCGATAAAAAAGAAGAGCGGCCACGCGTTCACTTCCACCACATCGTCCCGAAACTTCTCCGGTCTTCACACCTCCCCCGCTCCACATCCCGCCCCTGCCTCTGGCGCCGCCACCAGCGAGGCCACGCTGCTGGACGTCGCCCGCGAGCCCCTCACCCTCCCCGAGGTCGCCACGCGGCCGCTGGCCGCAGCTCTGCCCTCTCTGTCTCGACGTCACGACGCGCTCCACCTCTCCCACCAACGCCGCCGGTAAACCCGTCCATGACCGGTGCCACGAAATTGCCGCTCCGCCCTCTCCGGCTCCAATTCGCGACGCGGTCTGACCTCTAGGACCCGACGCTGTGCCGCGCTACCACGGCAGCCCCGCGCGCGGCCAAACCCTAGCGGCGCAGCCCAGGCGGCGACGCCCGCAACGCCTCCGGTGGCAGCGCGTCCAGGTACTGCCGGCTCCCTCTCTTTTTTTGTATTTTTAATTTTTTTTGCTTGCATCGTTGCTCAGTTTCCTCACCCTTCGTTGCTCATCTTTAGGATGCAGGATGATTGTGTCCTGGCCAAACGCCGACGAGGTGAACCCCTTCTCCCTTTTCCTCTCTCTAGGAAGCAGATGTCTTAGGACTCCTTAATGTTGCAATTTTTGCTACCTATCTCCCCTACTAATTCCTGAATCCTGTTTCCTAATGTATGCTCATTGATATGTTCTGGACAAGAGTTGATCACAGTATTTGTAATTATCTTTCATAAGCATACAGATTTAATCTATATTTGTTTCTTATTCCATATGCTACTTCTTCCAATGATTGGGTGCCCAATGTGTGTTACCTGCAGAACCAAACTTTCAGTGTGTCCGTCTGCAATTAACCCTTGTTTATTTTCCCTGCTTTCGTCATTACTTAGATTCGTATGTCGTTGATATTTCAGGTCACATCTTCACTGCGTAATTGCAGAGTTAGTCCCACAAAGAAGAGAGCTCCACATCTTCCACAAGAACAAAACAACATAGTATGACACTATGTTTCTAATTGATCTAATGAGAAAGACTCTTGGGGCCTTCGTTCCAATAATGCATGATTTAAAATTGTAAGATCTGTTAGTGCTACAATATGGATTATATAACGAGTTCCTGACAGCAATGTACATCAACTTAGCAGCAAATAATTTAAAATTGTAAGATCTGTTAGTGGTACAATATATATTTTATATAATGAGTTCCTGACAGCAATGTACATCAACTTATCAGCAGATAAGTTAAATAATAGGCTTATTTACTGATCTTCCTTCTATCCTTTTATGCAGTTCAAAATTTGCCATTAGATCTTTGTCTTCTGATCTTCTCATGTGGTTGGTATAGTACACTTCATAGGTTCAAAAAGAAAATTACCTCTAATACATGTTTTTGTTAGTTAATTCTGCCATATTCTTCTAAATGAGCAGGACTGCTGAATCCCAGTCGGTGCCTATGTCCCCTCCCCCTACGTTGCTGCCCTCCTCACACTACAACCTCACTCCTCAGTTGTCCATGCTCAACAGATTGTCATATTCAATACAGATGGCATCAACTGTGAAACCAGCAGGTGAATAGTCAGCACTCAACTTCTGTTACTTGAGCCTTAGTCCTGTACATTTACCAATCAGTTTCAAGATACGGCACAAAAATTGCCATCGAACAAGTTTAAATAACATCTATGTTTCACTGAACAAAAAGCTGTATTATTGCTCTTTGCTCAAAATGCCATACGACGTTTACAGGACAAATAATTAAGCTACCGCCAAGATTAGTCGTGTAAGATATTTTCTTTGTTTGGGCAATATCAGCTACCATCCAAAATATACCCCATACGTAGATACCACATCTACTGGCATCTAACAGTTTGATCAATCCTACTGATATTGAGAATATATCTGCTGCCAACCCTATTGATCTTGAAATTATTTCTAATGAGCTTCAGTTGCTCATCCCAAACTATGGTTGTCCAGCAATGTTTACATTATGTACATTTTCTACTGTTGCATGCCTGTACATCTATAATTACGTCATCAAATCCTCCCTATTATTCATTTCTAATTTTATTTTGAATATTTTTGGCATAACCTACTTCTTCTGTGCCGGAAAGGAGCATCCTGATTCATAAGCTGCCGCTGGGTTCCCCCAAAAAAGGTTACCTTACCTCTCCAATACTTTTCTACTGTTGCATGCCTCTACGTCTGTCAAATGTTTGCTTTCTGAATTTTGTCACCAATTCCTCCCTATTATTCATTTCTAATTTTACTTCCAGTATTTTTGGCATAACCTACTTCTTCTATGCTGGAACGGAGCATCCTGATTCTACAGCTGCTGCTGGGTTCCAAAAAAAAAGGGTACCTTTACCTCTCCAATACTGCAATCCTAATCCTTTGCAGCTGACCTTAGCAAACGAAAAAAAAAGTTTTCCATATTGATCTTACCTTTCCACTTTATACCATGTCATTGTAAGTTACTGCTGCAGATTTACTGTAAAGAGAGATGGATGTATTATTGACTTTATAATAAGATTGGAATGTCATACTTTTGCATGATTATGCATCCATATATCCACCTTTTCGACATTACCATGACATTATTTGAACCATATCGTCGTCACCTACTAATTGACAAATAAGTTCATCTGTAATTTTACCACAATGCTCACTTCTTCCAAACTTTTTTCCCTACACCCGCAGCAATGCACGGGGTTTGTGCTAGTTTCTTCTCATATGTGTACATTCTGACTGCCTCCTAGCAGTCCCGACCTTCCCTTCACATCACGATTCCCGTGGAAGTCGCGAGAGGTCGTTTTAACAACATCCATATATGTAAACAAATTAAAATCTTGTACATGTGCACCAAAAACTGCTCCCAAAGGGGCCAAAAGATAAGTAGTTTATAAATCATTTCCATCGTGATACATGATTTGAGCGCGTTCATTTATCCAAGACAAGTAATTCCTCCGTTCCAAATTGTAAGTTAGTTTTAGCTTTTTTGTGTGCATAACTTTTGCTGTACACCTAAACACATACTATGTCTAGAATAATCTACATGCATAGTGAAATCTATGTATGTAGAAAACCAAAATAAGTTACATTTTGGAACGGAGGGATCGGTGTACTATATATACATAGATAGAATCCCACACGTTTGAGAACCGATGACGTAGTATGTGCTGTGCCACTTACAGCAAGACACAATGAGCAAGCCAAAAAATAACAAGTGCATGCAATAAAAAAACATATGTGTGTATGTATGGAGGCAGAGGTAGTGGAAAGTTGTGGGTAAGTATATGTATGTATGCTTGTTGATCAGGGCTTCATGACCTGCACCCTTCTATGGTGTCGCACCCGCGGGTGTAGACATATCATTGGCGATCTCGCCGGGGCCGGGGCGGACCAGATCCTTGTTCTTCCTCCTGTCTTTCTGGTCGAAGGACCCCACGGAGAGATGCATGGCGGCGTCCGCGTCCTGAACGACGGTGCTCAGGAGGAGGAGGGCCACCAGGGACAGGCCAAGGACGGTCACCTGGAGCTTAGCTTTGTCCATGCCTGCTGCTGGCGTCGTTTATTCTTGTGCTAGCTGGCTGGTAACGAAGGGAATGGAGAACGGAGAAGACAGGGAGAGGCTGCTCTCTGTCTTAAGTAATGGTACGTATATGATGTGCCTCATGCAAGCGACGGGTGGAGGAGAAGGTATTCAGGAGCGAGGTTTGCTGGTGGTGTTAATTTGGTGGAACGAAGAACTTAAATTAGAAATAAAAATGGATGGTTCTTAACTTCGATGCCTATATATATACAAGATGTGGCGGGAGAGATTGTGTGATGTTTGAAAGCACATCATAGATTTTCTAAATCTAAGCCCTCCTTCAAAAGATATAGGAGAAAAGTTTTCAGCGAGACTATTCGCAACATCAAGTTAATCGAGGAGAAGCTCCAAAGAACCTTGTACCCTGATTAGTGTTCGCATTGCTGAGATAGCTTGAACAAATACAATACATCTCTCAGTCCTTTTATTTATTTATTTATGCGTACATATTTACTATTTTAGGTACAAAATTTAGCGGAACGAATTGAACCATATACACCACCATGACAGCATAGAAGAGAGATCGCGAAAGCAGTGAGTAGAATTTTGCTTTCTTCTTGCTTTGCTTCTTATTTTCCGTTACTACTACTATTACCCTCGTACAGTAGTCGTTTAGGCAACCTTGCACGAGAAGACTTCCTTGGCTCTTGCTGACAACTCCGGGAATACCCGAGTTGGGCGAAAGTCCTTGTTGAGGCAAACCACGGTCGCTCTGCCTTCCAATACGAGCTGACAAGTATATATAGGAACAGTGAGTGTGAGATGTATATATGATGCATCGCTAACAGCCTAACGTATGTTTTTTTTTTCTCGATCACGTAAAAGGTTTGCGCGTCTTTGCATTAAGATAGAGAAATGTTTAATACAACACGCGTTAGCGACGCCGCAGGACCTAACATATGTAACACACGCCTCCACTTGATGCGTACCTTACGATCCGGCAGGGCCTCGATCATGTGCTCCACAATCATCCGCACGCCTTTGATTTGGACAGGCTTCACCTTGACCACGAATCTGTCGCCGCTCTGACGATAATGAATGATAAACAATATAATTTCTGTGAGATTTTCCTTGCCTTTGATTTGCCATGCATGTGTTCACACAGCTAGCAGAGAAAGATATGTACCCTCAAAGGCGCAAAATACTTGAGGTTGAGCTCAGAAAGAGCCATGGCGTTGCCCGTGGATGTCCAGTAGTCCACGCTGATGCCCAGCTTCTCAAGCACCATGTCACGACCTGACCACGTACCGTGCCACGCCTCAGTCAGATAATTGATATTCGTAGATATATATATGCATGTGCCATGCGTCATGGTCTCATGGAGATAGCTATGGTCTTTGGAGGTCGAATAAACGATGATGGCTCACCGCTATGGAGGTAGCTGGCGTAGATGGCGTTGTTGACGACGCCGTACTCGTCAAGCTCGTCGTCGCGCACCTTCATCTCGATCTCGAAAAACTTGTCCTTCCTGTGTGTGTTCTCGTGTGTACCACAGAAGATTATTCAGTTATAAGGGAAGGGACAGGGACATGCATGCATAGAAGCTAGATTCTCGTGTGTACCATCGAAGCTAGCGAACCTGACGGTGACGGTGGTAAGCTGCTGCCTCGGTGCGGTGTGGCTAGGGCGAAAGTGTTGATCGAGCAGCTCGCGGCTGGTGGTCTCGCCTGTCTCGGGGGCGGCGACGACGCCAGCGGCACCCCGGAGCCGGCAGTACTTGGGCCGCGCGGCCGCCGTGATCCTGCCGAGACGCGCCCGGCCGGAGCTGAAGCTCACCATCCCGTGGGCGGCGCGCAGCCGAGGGTAGGGCCCGGTGGCCTGATGATGAACGAGGCCGGCCATCTGCTGCTGCATTAGTTGTGCGATTGCGCGAGGCCGAGAGCGAGTGGCGTGGCACGCGTTCTTGTCTGATGATCGAGCTCTGCTGGATGCCTTGGTGTGCAGTGTTGGATAGATAGATATATCGCAGTGATCGTTGATGCCAAAGCGTGGGCGTGGCGTCCTATATATATGGAGCATCAACACGACGACATGGCCAGAAATTTGCCGGCTGTTCAACTGTCCTAGCTCGTCGCGGGGGCCGGGGAAAATAATGTCCAATCCTGTGTGTGGGCGAGCCACTGGGCTTTGCCATTTCTCATGCTCTAACTAATCCAACAATGGCACGCAGCAGCAAGTTTGGGCTACGTACGTGCTGACTACCGTTGCACATGACCATTGGATTGTACCGCGCGCCGAGTCGGGTTTTCGACTGTTCAAGTACCTTGAGCTTGAGAACCGGCCAAGGCGTGTGTGAATCGTGGGTCAAGCTGGAGGCGCGCGCGCGCGTCGCTTGACCTGTCCATGCCATCGGTAGGTGGCGCCGTCGTTGCAATGGCTTTCCTGAGAGTGTGGATGGCGGGTGGGGTCAGCTCGAAGTGGGTCCACAGAGTCATGGAGTGTTAAGGGATTAGCATTGCGTGCAGAAACCTGTGAATCTATGATGATCAGTTAGGAATACTAATGATGAATGACAGCGGCCGGATAAACTAAAGTCAGTCGTTGTCCCACGGTGTTGAATTTTCAATTTTGTTGCGGCGACGCCACACAAACCGGATACGAGTTCGTGCGTCCTTGAAAAGTTGCTGGAACACACAACAGTGAACACACACGCACTGCACCGGCGACCACGAAAATTTCACGCCTGTCCGCCCTGTCAACTGTCACTACGCTGGATTCACGTACACATCACTATCGACCTCATCGCTATCGAATTTGTGAAAACCGACAGTGATATACCTTCACTGTCGGTTATAAGCTTGAAAATAAAAAAATGTTTAGCGTTGGGCTAAAACCGGCAGTGAAGAACCACGTCACTGCCGGTTTTTGGCTTGACCCGATAGTGTTTTGGCAGGCACTCATCACAGCCGGTTTAAGCCAAGAGCCGATAGTGATTGGACAATATCACTGTCGGTTCAAGCCAAGAACCGACGGTGATAAGCCTACAACACAAAAAGGCTGCAGCCGTCCTCTCCTTCCTCCTCTCTTCCATCCCAAGAACAGAGGCGCGCGTTTAGACCCTTCCCTCCATTGTTGCAGCTGCTCTTCACCATGAAGCTAGTGCTTGGATTTTGAAGAATGGCTTTATCTTTTTGCTTTAAGGTTAGCAACAAACATCCACTCCTTTGATTTTGTTGCTTAATTAGCTTCGTTTTGATGGCTACATTGCTTGATTCTTATTTTAGTTCTTTCTCCATTCTAGAGAGCACTTTTCCAATTGGACATTTATGCAAGACTCAAATTATGGTGAATCTATCATCCAAAAGGTCGGTGTCTATAAACACATTTAAATTCCTAGCTAATTATTCTATGGTGGTCAAGATCATCATTGTTAGTATGTGATGCTATAATTAGTTCTTAGAAGTAGAGTAGAATAGTTGTTCTTCAATATTGTGCAATAATTGATTTTTACTACGATTTTCAATTTACAGGGCCGAAGCTACCAATTTCAATTTTTCAATAATTAGTGTACAATAATATTTTCCAAAAATGGTACTTTCGAGGTACAATTGTTGTTCATGAAGCTCGATTTCTTATTAATTCTTTGTAATTACTGTCTCAGTATTTTTTTGTGCAGAGATGGATCGAGAGTGGATGCATATGTCCCGAACGGACAAGCGGTACATGCATGGCGTCAACCAGTTTATCACTGATGCCAAAGCTCATGCTGGGAATGGGAACCATGTCTTCTGCCCATGCAGAGACTGCAAGAATTATAGGAACTTTCGTCAAATTGAGTTTATACGATCGCACTTGATTACCAGGGGTTCATGCCAAACTATACGATATGGACTATGCATGACGAGGTTGGTGTGAATCTTCTACAGGAAAACGATAATGATGTGGGCATGTCTAACGTAGCCATCCACGATGCTGACGAGGAATCCGGTGTCAACACGGAACCTATGGCCACAGTTAATAATGTGTTTAGAAACACGCTAACTGACGACACCGAGGATAACGATGGCATTTCTCAGCTGCTACGTAATGTAGAGACCGGATGTCTTAGTGAAAGACAGCTGAGAAAGCTAGAGAAAATGAGACAAGATGGCAAAACACCATTGTATAGGAATTGTTCAATAAGCAAACTGAAAGCCGGCATCATGCTATTAGAGTTCAAATCAACAAATGGATTGAGCGATAAAGGCTTCGATCAGTTGTTAGGTATAATAAGGAAAATGCTCCTAGAAAAAAATGAGATGCCAGAAAAGACATACTTGGCCAAGCAAATGATCTGCCCTATCGGCCTCGAGGTTGAAAAAAATCCACGCATGTTCCAATGATTGCATATTGTACCGTAGAGAAAAATACAAAGACTTGGATAAGTGCCCCAAGTGTGAAGCTCCACGGTACAAGGAAGGGCCGTCAGATGAGGGTACCAAGACCAGAGGTCCCGTAAAGGTCGTTTGGTATTTTCCTATAGCTCCCCAGATGCATAGGTTGTTTGCATGTGCAAAGTCAGCCAAGCTGTTGTGCTGGCATGGCGAAGAGCGTAAGAAAGATACAATGATGAGACACCCCGCCGATGGGCATGACTGGAGGACTGTCAATACTATGTTCTATAAGGACATCAGTGGAGAGGTAAGGCACATTTGGTTTGCTTTGAGCACAGATAGGATGAATCCTTTCGACCAGGTTAGAAGCAATCATAGCACCTGGCCAGTGACACTCTGTATATACAACCTTCCACCTTAGGTCTGTATGAAGCAGTCGTACATCCAGATGCCACTACTGATCCAAGGGCCAAGACAGCCTGAGAATGACATCGATATGTTTCTAAAACCAGTGATCGATGAACTAGTGGAGATATTTGAAAAGGGTGTGCCGGATATTTGGGACGAGTACAAAAAGGAACATGTCACGATCAAAGGAGTACTTATCGCTACAATCACCGACCTGCCAGGTCGAGGTTCGTTGTTCGAAGAGAAGACAAAAGGCTATACTGGATGTGTCGAGTGCTTAGACGACACCCATACGGTAAATCTACCAAATAACTCAAAGATAATTTATATGGGACACCGTAGGTTCCTACCTAAGGATCACCCTTACCGCAGGATCAGAAAAGATTTCAACGGTACTATTGAGAAATGCTTAGCTCCAAAATATCGAGACGGGCCTGCGATACTTTGAGAACTCAATAAACTGGAGGTTGTCCTTGGGAAGGAGGACAATGCAGTAGCAGCGCCTGATGGGAGCGTTTGGAAGAAAAAATCGGTTTTCTGGAAACTACCTTACTGGCCATTTCTGAGTGTACGCCACTGTCTTGATCCCATGCACATCACTAAAACACATGTGCGCTAACACTCTTAACACCTTGATGGACACCGGGGGGACATCGAAGGATTCACTAGCTACACGCTTGGACATGCAACACTTGGGAATCAGAAAGGAGCTGCATCCCGTGGAGTTAGAGAATGGCCAGTTCGAACTTCCGGTTGCGTTATGGACATTGAAGAAGGAAGAAAAGCGTACGCTTATTTTTTTCTTCAATGAACTCAAAGTCCCGACGGGCTACCCAAAGAGGCTAGTGAACATGAGAAAACTCAAGTTCAACTATGGCCCTATGAAGGCCCATGACTGTCATGTCATTATGACTCAGCTGCTCCCTGTTGCCCTGCGTGGTATCCTCCCCCCAAAGGTCCGCGCCCCAATCATAAAGCTTTGCTCGTTCTTCAACGCGATCTCAAAAAAGGTCATTGATGTGTCCACACTAGAGCAGCTGCAGCGGGACATAGCCGAAACTCTCATTAGGCTTGAGATGCATTTCCCACCGACTTACTTTGATATCTCATTGCATCTGCTCATTCATCTTGTTGACCAAATTAGAGCCCTTGGCCCAATGTACCTGCATCAGATGTTCCCTTTTGAAAGATTGATGAAAGTTTTCAGGAGGTATGTTAGGAACAGATTCAAGCCAGAAGAGGGCATGGTTGAAGGATGGTCATTGAGTTCTGCACATATTATCTAGACATCAAAAGGGTCGGAGTTCCAGAATCTCATCACGAGGGAAGACTACGTGGCAAAGGAACGATCGGGGAGAAATTTGTTACAGTAGACGACCCTATTTCTTTTAGATAGGCACAGTTCGCTGTTCTCCAGCAAGCCGAGGGTGTGATGCCATACATTGACGTGCACAGGCAATCGCTGCAAACTCTGTATCCGAGCAGGTCACAGGCTTGGCAGGATAAAAAACATAAGAAGGAATTTGTTAGCTGATTACGACGTCGCTTGCTTGGAATAAAGTTGGGTAATCAATTGGATGCATTAGCCAAGGAACCTTCGAGTGCATATCTTAAGTACCAAGGGTATAAGATCAATCAATTCACATTTTACACAAAAAACAAGATGGAAAGAGCACATATCAAAATTGTGGTGTTCGTTTTGATGCTCACGACAAAAACGGCAACGTGCAGGCGACATACTATGGTTTCATAGTGGAGATATGGGAGCTAGCCTACGGTCCATTGAAGGCAACTCTTTTTCGCTGCCAGTGGGTCCGGCTCGAGGAAATCAACATTGACAACAAAGAGTTCACTACCGTTGATCTCACTAAGACCGCATACAGAGACGACCCCTTCGTCCATGCAAGAGATTCTATGCAAGTCTTCTATGCAAGGGACAACAAGACAAAAGGAAGGCTAAAAGTAATCCTAGAAGGGAAAAGGAAGATTGTCGGTGTCGATGGAGTGACGGACGAAGAAGACTACAGGGGCTATGAAGAAATGCCTCCATTCGGGGCGAACGTACCCCTACCTATCCTTCAAGAGGGTGATGAACCTGCTTATGTACGAATTGATCACAATGAGGCCCTCATT